CGGAGGGATGGCTGGGAGCCGTCGGGGCTTGAAGGTGAGTGTAAAGCTTTCGCGTCCGCCCCGAAGAGCCGGAGGGACGATCGCCGCTGGGTGGGCCGACGCCTCGGTGATGGGGAACCCAAGGAGAGGGTCCTCCTGCCTTGGGGAGGCGGCGAGTCTAGCGCAGCCCTGTCCCGCCTCGACTTCTCAAAAAGGCGAACAAGCAGTTGTTTTTTTGCTGCGGTCCCATGCTTCCCGAGTGCTTTTAGGCCAGCATGTTTGATCTTGTGAGCCACTAGTGAGCAAACGCGGTTGCGTTGTGCTAGGAACAACGTGTCAAGATCTGCGACTTGCAGGTGTCGATACAGATCTCAACTGCATTGTGCTCCCTGATGTTTGAGTAAATAATGCATGGACAGATAGTTTGCACGTCTTACGCTGTATCTGTGGTACTTTCTCAGGCAGTCAGTTCCATCCACCCCATGTTCGTTTCCTTCTGTGATTCTTCTCTCCTCCCCACCTTGTTTTTCTAGAACTAAGAACTAAAAGTATTGAACAGCAGTTACGCAGTCGTTTTAATCTGTCAAATCTATGTTGTTCCCAAAATGAGTGCTGTTGCCAGAGTGACTGTTCTTAACCGTGTTTTAAAGCACATAGTTATGTAAGTCTGTCCTTCCTCTGCAAAGGCCTGTCTCTTTTTACCCACTGCTGGCCTTGCTAGTGTTTGTGTGGTAAGCGTGCACTGGGGAAACAATCTGTCAGAAGACTAGCGACTCTGCGAGGGAGCTGAATCAGTCCTCTGAGCTGGATTTCCATGTGGGCATAAAAATGCAAGTGTGGGCACAAAGGAGGGAATGGTTACAAAAGCCCTTGTAGGAGAAGCACAAAACTTTTCACGTGAAAGCAATTAAATAGCTATCACTTCAGGTCGTGGTTCGGGGACAGTTTAGGTTAATCTAAGTAAGTGCTGTCACGCTTCTGCCCCTTGCCCCATACGAAGCCCTATACCCTGTCTTCCAAAATTCTGGCACTTCTCTGATGGCACAGTGAGCCCGAATAAAGAAGCTAATCGCTAGAAACCTAATGGGTGTTAACACAGAAGGTAAATCACGCTCATTCAAAATACTGCATCCAAATTGTCTTGAACTACTTTCACAGCTAACGTGATCTGTTGTCTGTTTACTCTGTTTGCTTTACAGCCCAGTATTTTAGTATAAGATCACATTATATTTCCACTCTTTAGGGCTTGGATTCTTTGTATTTTGTATGACAACAAGCTGAGCCAAATAATTAATATTTTCCAGTCACAAGAACTTAAAAATTTCTAAATCACATAAACTGAAAAAGTGACATACTCAAGGTAAACAATGGAGCTTCAATAAAATATCTCAAATTGTGTGTCCTGGATCAGTAAATAGTTTTGAAAGTCTGCATATCTGAAATAGCCTTTGTTTTTGCCATTGTTGAAATCTCGTAATAACAAAATGTTTCTTCTTCATAACTTGATAGACTGTTAAAATATGTTATTTTATGGTTAGTGCAAATTGAAATAAACTACTGTTCATCTTTTGGATGCTAATATAACTTTTATTAAAGCAATCCTTTCAGGTGAAAGCAAAAGTTTGAGAATGTTTTATGGTGTTATTCCAATGATTAGCGTAACAGTTTTGGTTGTTTTTTTTTTAACTGCTCTTAGCCCAGCAAATTCATCTTGGAGCTTATAGAGTGGTTTTTTTCATGCTCTGTGGTACAGAAGCCTTATTAGTCTAGCAACAAACAAAAACATTATTTCAGATGCAAGAAGTCTTTAAGTTATGTGACTAAAAAGGACAAAGCTGGGAGTTCTGTGTAGGTTCTGCTAGAAGTTAGTAAGACAGGATTTTCTCACTTCTCTGGCTATAGGGAAGAATTGGGTTTTTAACATATACCTGGAGGACGATAAAATCAAATCCCATTTAACCAAGATCTCTGAGATGTAAAAGTGATCTTAATCACCCTATTTTAAGTTTGTTAATCTGATAAACGTTGCTGTTTTTTTTTTCTTAGCATCGACCTTAAGATGAGTGGCTGCCGTGTCTTTGTTGGCCACTTAAGCTCACGTGCTCGGGAACGGGATGTGGAGAAATTCTTCAAAGGATATGGACGCATACGAGAAATCCATCTTAAAAATGGATTTGGATTTGTGGTATGTAACACCTTATTTTCCTTTCTCTTGCTTGCAGGTACTAGCCTTGCTAGGCTGATGTCAAGGAAGGGAAGATGTTTAAGAGAATAATAGTTCTAATGGGAAATGGAAAATATATTAATATACATTTCAGACTGCTTTTCAGATGTTGGGATTACAGTTTTACCTGGTTTTGGCCAGATTTTGCTCAAAATCTTGGTAATAGTCTAGCTATATTAAATGCATTGTCTGATCATAGTCTTCCATGGATTTAAATTTTATCCCTTATTTCTGAAGACAGTATAAATACCCTGTTACGGCATCACAAAACTTGACAAAGTCTTGACCTGGAGAAAAGTTTATCCAGAGTCACTCATGTTCCTCTCTCACTCCTTCTAGTCTGCTTGGTCACATTTCTAAATAACGGCGTGACATAAAAGCAAAGTAGTTGGCTAAGACAACAGGTGTAATAGGTGCTTGCTGTTGGATTTAAGCAGCATGGCTTTTAACCCTTGTGCAGCTAAAGTTAGGTATATTCACTGTCAATATATGTTCACAGGACGTATGTGTCTGTCAGACTATTAAATGAAATACACAGTTGATTGGGTCTTAGTTTCCTACCACTGCTTTCTAGAGCTCTATGCTCCTAAACTGTTGTCCAAATTTTTACAGCTTTACAGGTTCCCAAGCTGACTCAAGATCAGCCTGTTTCTTAACTATTATCTCCTGAGAACTGATAATTAGCTGTTCTGCAGTACTGAGTTCAAACTGGAAAGGTTGATACTGCCCTCACACTATGGCAGGCTTACATGCCATTTGTTCTGCCAAGATCAATCCCTTGGGTGAAGCTATGGGAAAAGAACAAAAAAACAGGCTTTGCCCACTTTAGTTTCATGTGAGTATTACTTCTTGACTTGACTCCTACATGTGCTAGTTCCTGATTGCCCTGCAGTATGAGCTACTTCTTGTTGACTGCCAGTAGGTAAATACCTGCCTCTTAAAGTCCAGAGGTAAATCGCCGATCTAGACGTGAGCCTGAGTTTATTTAGTGCGTCCTTTCCAATTGCTGCTATGTCTCAATTGCCTTTCCCTGAGCGTTCCTCTTCTCTTTTGGGGCAGGGCTGTTGACTCATTCAGGAACAACTTCTGTTCAACTCCCGTACATGAGTCAGCCAACCATCCTTCCTGTCTTCTCCAGTTCCTAGGCAGAAGCATTTTCTTTTCAAAGCTCACTAATAAGCTTGAATAATCATCCCATAACTCTGTCTAAAAATTTTAATTCTTCTCATGATGGAGAATTTTTTCCTTACAGCTGAATAAAACTTCCCCCCCTTTGCTTGTCATCCTGTCACTGTGCACCCACATGAGGAAAGCACTTCCATCACCTCTGTAACTGTGTTTTAGTATTAGAAGACTCTGACTAGATCCCCTTTGAGCCGCCTTTTCTTCAGGCTGAACAAACATGGCTCTCTCAACCTTTCTTTGTTCTCCAACCTTCTGATCGGTTTTGGTGGCCCACTCCAATTTTTCAATGTCTGTCTTGAGCTGGAGGGGCCAAAACTGGACACAGTGTTCCAGGTGTGGCCTGACAAATGCCACGTAGGGTGGAATAATCACATCCCTTGGCCTGCTGGCTGTACTCTTACTGATGCAGCCCAGGACACGGTTTGCTTTCATTGCAGCAAGGCCAGACTGCTGACTCACACTTAGCTGACTCTTCACAAGGATCTCCATGTCCTTTTCAGCAGAGCTACACTCCAGCCACTGAGACCCCAGCCTGTTCTGCTGTTTGGGATTATTCTATCCCAGGTGCAGGACTTGACGTTTATCTTTTGTTAAAACTTGTGATTCTTGTTGGCCTAATCTTTCAGCCTATCATGGTGTCTCTGTGTGGTGGTTTTTCCTTCTGGTATATCTATTTCTCCTCCCACTTTGGTGTCAGCCACAAAATTGGTGAGGGTGCACTCAGTCCTGTCATCCAGATCATTTATAAATACATTGAATAGTATTATCCTTTGCAGTACTTCGCTTGTGATGGGCTGTCAGTTCATCTTTGGTTTTGGTTATTTAAAATCTGTATTTATAAAACCTCTTACAAACCCAAGTGATTCTGATTGAACGTTGTTGTAGCGTTAAAAGCATGTTTCATTGTGCTTGATTGAAATTGTTGCTTAATCTTTGAAACTGATTATATTTACTGAAATTCTGTAAATTTCAGTGCAGAATGTTTTCAAACCACACCATAAAGCTAGTATGTAAAGCTAGATAGACTTGCAGACATGCTTCAGTTTGTTAGAAACGAGCTGAAATCATGGGAGTTGTAGGTGCTAACTATTGATATTCTTAAATGCTGGGCCTAAATGAATTTTCTCAAGATAATCTTCGCATCATCATGCAAGGATGTGTGATGTTTCACTTGGTAGTGAAACAGATTTCAGTGCAGAGGGGGGAAGATTGTTTAAGCCAGTATTGCTTCCAAAAAGCTGTTTATAGTTACGCAAATGTTTTCTTCAACTTGAGAAGCTGCTTCTCTGTTGTTCATTGCTGTCAAGCTGCAGTGCCACGGTTTTTTTTTTCATCATCCACACTTGGTTCAAGCAGTCCCTACCCAGCTGCTTGTTCTCACTGCTTTATTTCTTTCCTTTCTCCCCTTGCCTCGCATGGTGTTACCACAGTTGTTCAGCCACATAATGAACCTACCTGGAAAGCCGATGTAGTTGAAAAATAACACTGTCTTTTTCACCCCACTTCCTGCACAAAGTGTGCTGTTTTTCATCTGGATAGGTTTCTTGACCTAGTTTCCTGCAGAGCTGTACAAACAGCTTTGCCAAGAACCAGTGGGCTGGATAGTGGGCAGAGGCTACTTGGGCTGATGAAAGCAGCAGTGCTGCCAAAAGCAAAGCAACAGATTCCGTTGCAACAGTATAAGGAATTGCATATTACAGCTGATCCAGACCCACAGGTGGCCGGTGCTGAAGAGGGGCTTATGTTTCTTACTCTTCTTACACAGGCACCTTTTTGCCAGACTAGTGAGCTGAATTCACTCAGAAAAAAATCAGAAGGGCTTTTTTTTTCTGGTTCACTCTTTCTTTTCCAATTCAGTAAGAATTGAATCAGCCCCAGAACTCTTTAAGAGGGTTTTGGGAGTGCACAGCTCTCCTGCTTTTGGTTGCAGTTGATCAGCTCGTGCTGTTATACAGGATTTCCCTGTATGTAGGGCTGTGTTTTAAACTGTATGCCTTGAAGTAATCCCCCCACCTCTCTCCCAAAAAGTATTCTAGATATTTCAGTAATAAACCAGGTCATTTAATTGATTTATTTTATGTAGGTCCTGCAAATAGTTATACTGAAACAACTGAGGGAGGCAAAACGAGTTTGCGGGGTGGAGGGAGAAGAAATGGTCGTGAATGGGAACATCTTGGCTTTTCAGTCATAAATGTACTAGGAATCCACTTCCTTGTTCAAAGTTCTGGCTGATACGTGCTGCAGAAATGTAAAATTTATAAAGAAAACATGTTTTCTAGCATTTGAATATACTGTGAGGGAAAATACTTTTTTATTCCTATTTTCTTTCTAGGAATTCGAAGACCACAGGGATGCTGATGATGCAATTTATGAACTAAATGGTAAAGAGTTGTGTGATGAAAGGTAAGCTTGATACCATAATTACCTTTAAGAACAGCAAAAGTGCTTTGCATCCAAATACAGTGCATTAGCTTGTGCTCCGACACCCGTTTCTTGTGGCTCTATGGTGGGATACACCTTCCATAACTTTATCTAAAGAGATTCATTGGGATCCTGGCTACAGTCTTATATAAGGCAAAGATAGTTTGGGACTGGAGTAGGGGTGGTTTGGAGCAGGGCTGACTGTTTTCTCCACTTGCACTTATTTCTCCTTCAAAGCTAACTCAAGGTCTTGTCACTAGAAATATTAGTAAAAGTGAATTGAACTTATCTATTTGTTATTTATCTGTCTGTTGACTTCAGAAAATAAGTTGATGATAGCCTTTCATCATTTGGAGTGTTGCCTTTCAGTTTGCAACAATGTGGACTATAGTCATTGTTATGTTACAGTAATTTTTATTTGATTGTGGAATTAGGTTGTTATTATTTTGGTACTCTTTTCCCTCTGTGATTACTCTTGGGCTCTGGTTGAGCAAATTTAATTGTTTCAATCTGAATTACAGACCCATGACAATTTTCATGAAAGTCTGAGGCAGATGAATGAGACAAGAGAATACCACTGTTCTGGCTCTTGAAATGCCAGTGACTGTGTTATAAATTGTTGCTTGCAAGGGCAAGATAATTCTTGTTTGTGCACATGTGCTTCCAGTTGCGAAACATTTAAGTCAGTGTCAAATACTTAAAGTTTGTGTTTTATTTTTTGTTTGCTTGTTTTGTTTTGTTCCTATCATAAGGGTTACAATTGAGCATGCTCGAGCCCGAAGAGGAAGGGGCAGATTCCCACAACGGTTCAGTTATTACCAGTCGCAGAGTGGATCTAGGTAGGTGGTCTGGACTCTGTTTCCTACAAACAGAATAACTGAACAACTGTACTGAAATACTGTTTTCTTCTTGTGGTTGGAGTTAGGGATCCAGCTCTGTGCCTTGTATAGCTTCACAAAAGAAGTTTTATGTTCTCAAACCTTGGAGGTCCATTACTATTATTTACCTCCTCTGGCTGAGGAGAATGTGGATTTTAAAGCAGTTTAACTGGCTTGCAGAGGTTCACAAACCTGTTACGAAATGCTCCCTCTCTGTGTTGTAGGCACTATATTGGTCTTGCTTCCTACTGTTGTGTAAATGATGTGAACGAGTAATGCTGCAGTTGGATTGGCTGTTTTTAACAGTATACCAAGAAAAATGCTAGAGCTTCTCTCTTGAGGCTTTTGTCATGAAACTGAGCTTACAGGCTAAGCAGAATTATTGTAGAGCAATAGTTCAAGGTATTTACCGTCTAACCAAGCTTTCACATTTCCAGTTGTATGGTTATCAAAACGCTTACTACAGCACAGCATACAAAAGGAACTGCATTTGAGAAATAGTGCTAGGGCACAAGATACTAGCATGTGCAGAAGTGTTTAAATACCAGTTGACTAAGTTTGCTGACCGAGCAGGTGCCTTGCTGAAGGAGAGCCTCTGTCCTACAACGGAATCTGAAAAACAGGACGTAGCTCATATCTAGAATACCTGTAGTGGACATACAGTATTTGTGGAGTTGTTCGCTTTCGATGATTGAGCCAGTGGTGAACCTTGTACCAACTTGCAGTGGAGTTTGTGAAAGTTCTGCAGATTTGCATATATTCCACCAAACAACTGCGTATTACATCTTTGTACTTTATATCTACCTGTGTGAAGTAAATATGTATGGAATAATTTACTCTGTAGAAACATTTATAGCTGTGGCCTATGCAGAGTAGAGTTTGGAAGAAAGACGAAGACTTAACTGACATAAACCTGTGCGTTTGTTTCAAAGTCAGAATTGCTGCCAGTTACAAACCAGTGTCTGGAACATCTAATTTGCATATGCAAGTATGCTAATTAGATTATTTTTTCTTTAGTGGCAGTAACCTTGATGCGGTATAATTGGTCCGAGGTCCAGGCTAAAAGTGGACTTTTAAAGTAGGAAGTGTGATTGAAGGTCGTGGGCATCTGACGTTGTAGTCATGTTCATGACGTCAGACTGCCGATGCCAGACAGGAAGAGACTGCGGTTTGCAATAATGGAAAAATGAGACTCAGCCTGCCAGTTTTGGGACTCTGGGACCTCTGTTTAAATGCCTGGAAGATCTGGATGTTCTGAAAAAAATTGGGACACTTTGAGGTATGCACTGAAATGAAATTGCCTGTGCTTCAGTGTACAAATCAATACATACAATTTAGGATTATGTTTCTGTGGGAGGAGAAGATGAGAATTTTCTCTAAGGTCAGTGTTCTTGATTCTTGAATCTTTTTGTAGTAATACAATGTAGTGCCATTGTTAGAATCTTGCATTACTTATCAAAAGGCTGGCATGCCTTTTTCCATAGTTCTCAGATCCCTTTGGATTCAGAATGACTAGTATTGGGAACAGAAATGACCTGCAAGGGCAGTATTCTTTCCAGATGTCTTACTCTTCTTTTCTGTATGAACGTTTTCAAGCCACATTTTCATTTTTGAGAGGGTCTTTAATTTTTGGTTAAGTGAAAAATACCGCCTTTCATTCAGGAACTGTAAACTGCCACAGTTATTTCAAGGCAACCAGTTATCTAGCTCTCATTTTACTAAAATAAGAATATTTCTACTCACAGCAATATCTAATATAGGTCATGGTGGCATTTATAAATATTAACAAGTGATTTGGAATTGAGAAGCATGAACTAAGATGCCTTTAAATTGTGCCTTCTATCTCCCTGACATGAAGCAGAATTTATCCCTCCCTGACATGAAGAAGAATTTATCCTACCAACTAAAAAAAAAAAAAATATTGCCCTTTACATGAATATCCTCCAAAACCGTATGTGTGAGCCAAGCCTGTCAAATACCAAATTTAAACTAATTCTCTTTACGTTATTTTCATTCTACTAGGCACTTATTTCAGTGTATCTAGAAAAAATGGCAGCTATATTGACTGCCTTGGTATAAAGTTCTTCATCAAAATCCTTTTTAATACCCTTGTAGCAGCTCTCTTCTTGTAGTGGACTCTTAAATATCTTATTGACTAGGGAGAATCAAATCTGCAGTCCAGCGACAAGGAAAATACTTAAATCTCTCAGCAAACTATAGAAAACATCAGATTTCTTAAGTTCTAAATTCCTTACACTGGAGACTTTTTCCTTTTTTTTTTTTCCTCTGAACTCTTCTAGCCGGTATGGACCTCCTGTTCGTACTGAACACAGGATCATAGTTGAAAACCTTTCATCCCGTATCAGCTGGCAGGTGAGTTAACGTCATCTTTTTTTACACCTTATTTTCCTACCCTGTAAGCAGACTGCTTTCAGCCTAATTTCTTAATAAAGCCATCATAAATATTTAACCTGAATAAAAAATAAGCAAAAAAGCTTCAGTGATTGCTAAAAACTAGCATTGAAAAACTTGAAGTCTTTTGTTTCACATCTGCGCAAATAGTTTTATAACTAGATTTTGTAGTTGGGAACTGATTCTTGCTTACTTGCGTTTATCAACTGATAAAACTTTGGAAGATTCTAGATTGTTTCTAAATTATTGAAGCATAGCATCCACTCAAACTATGTCATCCTTTTGTATTGTTACACCTGGAAGTGCATGCCTTTGTTCTGAGTGAAATTTACAGTCTTTTCTTCAGTTTTGCAAAATATTTTTGTGACATGATGATTGAGAAGTCTGGTAATACATCATTAATAAAGGGTCTTAATCTTAAGAAAGCTACTGTGTAAAGTATGCTTACTGTAGATATTTTTTAAAAACCCCAAACTTTCAGTAATTGTCTTTTGAAGCTTTCTTACCACCCTTCTTATTTTTTTTTTCACCCCTAAAGCTAAAGTTTTGCTAATTTTTAGCTGGCTTTTAACAGAATAACCATATAATCAATTCCTTTAATTATGTTCTGTGTCGTATACAGTCTATAAAAAGTTTACTTTTTTAAGGGCATAACAACAGATGCTATTTACAAAAGGTGAGTGAGTAGTGGAGTTCAGTCTTGTTCATTAACCTTTATATTCTTTGAATAAAGAGAGCTAGTGTACTGAAAGATGCAGTAGAACATGTTGAATGTTCAAAGCCTTGGTGTTGCAGCTAAATCCACATGAGGAGGCTGTTTGGCTTGCCTGAAGCTCCACTGATGAGTTTCATAAGAGCTTGGGTACAGTCCATGCAGATAAATGGTTGAACTAGGTTTGTTTATCTTCTGCATGACAGGTTCAAAAGGTTCATAATTGTACAGTTGTGTTAATTATTGAATAACTAAAAAAACAACTTCTGAGTTCATGTGATGAGCAAGTGGATTTCATCTAAATATCTTCTGGGTATGCTATGCAGTTATGTACATGAAGAGATTGTTATAAAACACAGCGCTTGGAAACGACAGTAGGGACCAGAGAAGTAAGCTAGAATGGAGTGTTAAGGAGAGTAAATCCTATAATGCTGTTTAGTGTTAAATTCATAACTTGAAAAAAAAATTAATGTTTCTGTAACTTTCTTTTATTTGTGAATATTTATAATGGCTTTATGTGTACTTACCATTTTAGCCCACCCAAATCGAATTTCATGCTGATGAATCTTTAGGATTCTAATTAAATGTTTTAATGACTCTCTTAAATGTATGATAAGTTAGCATATAAGAGACTTTACTTCTTGATACCTGCCTAAATAGAAATCATTTGAAGCTAACATCCATATGCAAGCCTCGTTTAGTTTTGAAGCTGTACTGCTTTGATACTGACTATAGTGTTTTAACTTCTTTTAACTACTTACACAACAGATTAAAATAGCTAATACATTAACAGTAGTGGCATTATTCTTCCTTTCTAATCCCTGAGCTTCTAGCAAGCACAATCACTAGGAACCTTGCTTGAAAACTTAGGCGCCTAATTTCATCTTTGGTGTGTGCAGATCCCCATGCTTTGAGAACTTCTTCTGTCTCCTTTAAAAGTTACTGTGTTGGGATATTTAAAAAAAAAAAAACCAAAACAAACCACAAATAAAATTTGTATTTAGATCAGTTTCCTCAAATTGTTGACTATTTTGTTAATAGATAATCTCATCTTTAAGTAGTAGACAAACTGTCAGAATTCTCCTTATTTTAGCAAACGTATTTCTGCATGTTCAGAGCTTTCCAACCACCCTCATTAGTTCTTCAGTATCTGTGAATTTTCAAGCAGTTGGGAAAAGTAGACCTGTGTTACATCAAGATGTAATTTTTAGTATGTGTTTTTCCTATTTATGGTTGTCCTACACCTTATTTTCGTTTGCTGCTAAGGACAACAGGGTATTCTTGTGCTGTTTAAGGTGAACCAGAACAGTAAACTTCGGATAAAATTTGACTGTTCCACTGGTTAAGTAAAACCGGATAAAGCATTCCCCTAATAATAGCAAATACTCTGTTGAGCTTTTATAACACATGCACACTTACTGTCTTTTGAGCAATAATGTTGGCATCTTAATCATGTTGACATTACTATTACAAATGATGTTTCATGATGATGATACTTAGGATTCGGCGTATAGTGTGGCAAGTCTGTGGGGGCCTCAATTTTAAAGCCTGAAGTTATTGAATTAGAAAATAATTATGTAGATTAACATTTTCTGACTTCCTTTTGCCTTACCAGCCGTGGTCTGGTTAAGCTGTCATTGACTCGAGCAGAGCCAAAAGTTTGCTCCTTGTCTCTAAATTGGGATAAACATACTGAGGTTGAAATATTACTTTTAATGGTGCTGTAGGGCCCATTTTTCATTTGCTATTAAGGTTTCTTTGTGTTAAGCACATGTGAAACAAGGAAAATATCTACTAGTTTGCATACGCAAACAGTTTTTAAAATAAAACTGTTGAATTTTAATTAAAAGATTAGATAAAACTAAGCCTTATATTCTGTGGCAAATGTTCTAAAGGTTTTTCTTGGCTTTTTGTTTTGTAGTCTTTTCTTCCTTAAGCCTATTTCTAACCAAGTGCATTTTGAACCTCTTCTAACAACCTTGATTTGGTTAACCCTCATTTTTCTTGTGTGGAGGAAAAAGAACCAAAGATTTGGGGGTTTTCTAGTGGCTGAAATTCTAGGGTTTGGCCTGTTCTGAATTTTCCTTTTGGTTCCTATGACACTCCTGTTTTTTGGCGATCTAGATCTTGGTTTGCCTGGGTTTGATCTCGATTGGCTAGCACAGATCATCCTCGGGTTCTTTAGCCACTTCTGGAGACTGGAGACTATGTCCAGTGCTTTCAGGGCTTCTGGTACCTCCGTGAAGCATATTGCTATGAGCCATCACTCTGCCTTTCTCATGTAAGAGAGTTCCTCTTGGCCAGCTAGGTATTGGACAAGCAACTCTTTGCTTAAGGTACCTTCTTATATCATCTGCCACTTGTGGCATGTTGTGGTAAGTAGTCTGGGATTATAAAATACCAGATACTGTTTGCAAAAGTACTGCTTTAACTTATACAAACGTTTAGCGCTTTAGTGACCTTTTACATTATTTGTTTGTACTTCATCCTACTGCTAAGCAAGTAATTTTACAGTGTCTGCGTGTTTAGCCTCTATTAAGTTAAATACAAGGGCGTCTATTGATGTGGTACTGTAGTGTGACAGATATTCAAGTGAAATACAGGAAAAATTTTTCCCTTTGTAAAATTATTAACGATGTAGTAATTACACCTTTTTGCTTTTAATTTTGCTGTGAAGTTGGGGGAGGTGAGCATATAAAATGAATTTGTCTACATATATTGGATTGTCATTTAACTGGGTTTTAGTCGTGACAATTTGCATTTAATACTACGTTGCTTTTCATCTGTTATAGTTCTGATTTCAGTGCATATGTTGGTATTTTAAGTATTGCATTGTGTTTTCATAACAGCTGGTTTTGGGATGCAGGATTTTTTTAAAAGCAGTATCTTATTCACGGTAGTTGTAAAAATGAGGGATCCTTTCTATATGCAGCTGCTATTAACATAGGCTGTTTCAGAAACTTTTTTCTAAATTATATGTATTTTTTTATATATATAAAAATATAAAAACATTAAGCAGTTTTAGCA